TCTCCGGCCCGACTCCCTAAGCGCGTTGGGACAGTCTTAACCCCCCACTCCCTGCCTCACTTAAAGGAGTGTACACCCCCGGATAAACTCCTAGAAACACACTAGCATGCCCTAGTAGATGTGTTCACATAGACAGACGGTTAGTTGCGTACAATGGTTCACTAACAGTATTGGCACCAAACTTCGTGAGACAGCAACCGAATTTTTTTGATATATTTTCTAGCACCTTTTAACACACGGTACCATTCCTCATGAGCAGTCTGAAAATTTAGGTCACACAAGTGTACATGCGAGCGTTCCTAAAGTTATCATTATTGTTTCTATTTAAGTCTTTATCGAAAAACGTCAATTGGTATTTCCTCTGGTCTGCGCATATGGAGAGTGAAAACAGTGCGGCTATTTTTGAATCCATACCCAAGACTTTCGCATTTGTTCTGATACGCTACGGTTGGATTAGACAATCCTTCGCCTGTATTAATTTGCACTGGGACCTATCGAACATACTTGTTGGGCAGCACTCATGGCAAATGGAAGAGAGCCTGCGCTGGTGCTTCATGATTTATGTATCCTTGTCAGTAGGTCGTACTCCAACCCTGAGTCTTCGGAACTTTGATCTAAATTCCTTAACTTCACGAATTTTCAACTATTTGTCTGCATTGACTATTCACCGAGATGTGTTTTTGTAGTTATTCTGAAACCTCTCTTCTACTTCCACCCCCTTTTAGTCATAAATGTTGTGCGTGAACCACAAGTTTTCACGTTTTTGTTTTCAACTCTTCAAATGTTTTTGCATTTCTTGTTGCGCCAAGGACAATGTTTTGGGTCTGTAGCGTGTAACTGGGTACCCGATGGTTAATATGACAAGCACTTTTCGGGTTATGCATTTTAGACTCTCAGAAAAAACCTGTTCCTTCTGGACGTACCTAAATCGGAACCGCGAATACTTTCTGAATCCCCTTTATCGGGTGCAATTTTCAAAAGACTCTGACCCACCCACTCTCAACACTCATCACTCAAGCATGCTGCCCTCTTACGTTTTGGCCCCACAACTTTTCAGGTGAGTAAAAGAGAGTCATATTTCCCCTTCGCTTTGATCTCATGTGGACCTTTTTTCTCGATAACACATCCACTTGCGAGTTCTTTATGGTTCCTCTTAAAACGCAGCCGTGTTTCGTCTTTAGCCGACCTTACTAGAACATTTTACAAACTTTATTCATATTCCCTTGAATTTGGATTCACCTAGATGATTGTTGTTTCAAAATTCCGTATGCAAAAATCCTCCGGCATTAATTGAAATTTGCCCCTAAGTTTTTGTAAGTAACACGATTTTCTAATATTTAGGTGTGCTAACGTGAACTTTGAGCGTCCTCTAGTACCACTGATATGCCCGATTGCGACCGACAAGGTAACGAGCCCCTGACTAGATAGTTAGAGCGTAAGCCTTCTAACTACCAGGACGCGTGTTGGAGCCTCGGTGACTGCAACACCTGGGATTCGGTATGGCTGGCTGATGACGGCTAGAAGCCAGAAATGCAAATTCAAATCTCTTTGGTATTTCTCGGTAGTCTTATATATGC